TGTATATATATATATATGTGTGTGTGTGTGTGTGTGTGTGTGTGTGTGTGTGTGTATATATATGTATATGTATATATATATATACACACACACACATAGTGGATATATATATATTTAAAGAAGAACTCCGGGCAGAATAGAACTTAACCCTTGCAGTGGGGCAACTCCTGCATTGCAAGGGTTAAGTGCTCATTTTGGTTTAGGATGTAAAATAACAAATATATACTCACCCGAACATTGATCCAGCCTGGCTGCTGGACTGGTCCCTACAGCCTTTTCTCTCCCACCGCTCTGGCGTTCCAAGGACCCGTGAGGCTGAGTGGGACATTCCATTGCAGTGTCCCTTGGCACCCTCACTGGTCCTTAGACCACCGGATCGGAAGGGGAGAGGGGCTGCAAGGACCGGTCTATCAGGCAGGCGGGACCAAGGTTCGGGTGAGTATATCTTTGTTATTTTAGACCCTAGACCAAAATGAGCACTTAACCCCTGCATTGCGGGGGTAGCCCCACTGCAAGGGTTAGGTTTTATTCTGCCTGGAGGTTTTCTTCAAATGCTGTTATTAGTATTATTAACAGTATTATTCACATTTCCTAAAGAAATGCAGCTACAAGTTCCTACCATTTATTTTCTACGTACAATTAGTTGTGCAATTTCATCCTCCTCACACTGTTCAAGCTCCTTTCCAAGCTTTGTACGAGATGGCTAGAAAAGACAAGATAGTACAGAGCATTCATAAGGTAGGATGACTTTGAGTAATATTACAATAATGCACATGAGGTAAGAAAAGGCTAAAAAAAAATGTTTACTTAGGATAAAATTGCTATGTTCCATACAGACTTAATGCAACATTTGTATTCATTTGTCTAACATTTTCCCCCATCCATTCAGACTTGCTAAATCAGAGGTTACATTTGATATAAAAGATAACTATGGGGTAAGTGTTTTTCCCCATAGTTCTCTTTAGGGTCACGGGAGGACATATAGCAACCTCCTCCAGTGACACAAAGCTCAGTATATCGCAGACTATTGCTCGCAATATACTGAGATCGCCGCAGCTGGGATGGATCCTGGCAATACTGTCGTGATCCACCCAGCTGCGTGAGTGACAGCTGGCTCTGCCTATCTAGAGGCAGAGCCAGCTGTGCCACCCCTCCCCCATATTTTACTCCAGTCAGAGCTGGAGGATCGGAGAGGGGAAAGGGGGAATGCCTGCTGGGAGCGGTGACTGACAGTCACTGCTCACTGCAGGGAGACGATCGGGAAGTGAGCAGATCAGCTGCATGTAACTGCTCACTTCCCGATCAATAGAGCCGACCTGTGACAGCTTCTTTGTCACATGTTGGCTCAAACTATGAGGATGAGTGGAAATCACTCGCCTCATAGTTTTCCTTTAAGCAATTTTGCTTATTGTGTCTAAGCCTGCTTTTTGACAACAAAAGTGTTCTCTGCTAGGCAGGAGTTTTGGGTTCACTGGTGCCATCATGGTGACTCCTCAAGAATCACAAACTTTAGGTCAAACAATTTCCAGGATCACTACAGAAATATGGAGCAACATATAATGCACTGCAAAGCCCTGGTCAGATTTGTCAGAAGCCAATAATCTGAAGGAATAAATTACCCAGCCCACTTTTTATAAAATGACAGGCTTAGGGCAGCCATATCGTCAGTGTGTGTTGGAGCTCTTAGAGGGATGCAGTTCTGTGTAGGGAAATACTTTTTTATTTATTTATATTTTTTCCATTATTTTGACATAAGTTCATGTCCTCCATGACAGTGCCTGCCTTCCCATCCCAAATGGCCAGAATTGAATAACAAGATAACCCCCACCACCAACCCCCAACTTCAAAGTAGTTTGCTGAAAAGTTTGCAAACTTCAAACTTGAAGCAAAACTGTTTTGAACTGAACCCGGGCAGATTCACTCATTCAGCACATAAAGTACACATCAAATACCCCTGATCTATCACATGCACAGGAAGTGGGGCTTGTTTCCCTGTATGTGGACTTTGTGCTAATAACTTATTTTGGAAACCCAAAAGGTCATCCTATGGGTGTACAGGAGCTAAATCCTACCAAAAGCCTCTTCTCTTTAGGATCAATTTGCTATGCAGTAGCCAAGGAGATCATTGCTCAGTCCTGCTAACACTGGTAGAATCAGCACTGATCATGTAATGTCGACAGGCTCCTTATTTCTCTTACAGTACACAGGTGTTTATCAACAAAGCCACCTACTGAGACTTAGGGGGTTATTCACTAAGGAGCCAAAGGATCCAGCCGTAGCTCTCTTCGGCCGCCTCTGCCCTTTGGTTCAGCCAAAGCCGACCGATCTCCACACAAATGACAGCTTACCAGTTGTAATGACAGATTAGCGTCCCTAAATGACCGGGGGATGCTGATCTGTCATTAAACAATAACAACTGGGCGGCGCCAGCCGTAACAACACGGCCGGCTCCACCCAGTTGTTAGTCATAGGCCGGGACCTGCTAGAGGACACTGGCAGGTGCCGGCTAATAGGAAACAGTTGGACGGAGTTAGCTGTCACCGCTAGCTCCACCCAACTGTTTTTGTTTTGTTTTTCTTTAAAATATTTTTATTTTTTACTATTTTTTATCATTCTTAAAATAATTTTTCAACTTTTTTTGTTATTCTTTTCACTTCTTTTCTATCCAAAATCCAAGCCAAATGCCGCTTGGTGGCATTCGGCTATTCACTCACTGCCGTTCGGCCCCTATGACAATAAAGGCAAACGACAGCGAGTTCGCTGCCGGAGCTTCAGCTCAGCCGATCCAGATGTTGGATCGGCTGAGTCGAAACTCCTTCTGCACTTCGGCTCAGCTGAACATGCAGAGCATGTTCAGCTGACGAAAGGCAGTCAATGTACGGCTGATTTTAACCGATGTGCGGCTGAAATCGGCCATACAAGCCAGCAGTGCATAGCCGAACAGCGTTCGGCTCACTTCACTTCGGCTGGGTTATTCGCTCGGCTGCCTTTGGCAGCTTTGTGAATAACCCCCAAAGAAAGCAATGAATTAAAACCTCATAAAATACAAATATATTAGCATAAGAACATGACAGAATGTACATCACAAGATAAATTACCAGGATGTCTTGAATTTCTTCCTTACTACACTTCACATGGTACATCACCATATCTTGGGCAATGTCTTTGCGATTTTCCAGCTTGTTCATCCTGTCATAAGTGTCAGTGTTCAGGACAGACCAACCCAGAAACTGAGTTAAGGACTGTGAAAAGAGTACAATAATTATTGTTTGGTTGTTTGTAAATCTGCAATCTCCTGAAGCACATAAGGCTGCACAAGGGTTGATTTACAAAAGGTAAATAATCTGTTAACTTTGCAAGGGAATTTGCAGTTTGCAAGGGAATTTTCTCTTAGCTTGGTGAATAAGGTGAATCTCTGCTGACTTCCCTCATCCAATCATGTGCAAGCACATATACTTTCTTTTTTTTTAGTTTCCTTGCACATGATTGGGTATTTGTTGCAAAGTGAATTTTCACCTCATTCACTAAGCTAAGGGAACATTTCCTTGCACAGAGATTATTATATTCTTGAAAACATATATTAACTATACAATGTACAAATTGTTTAATGATGATGGTAAAATCAGTAAATAACTGTTCACTCTAAGGTTCCTAAAGAGGACAAGAGGACTTGTTTGTCCTCAAACTGCAAAGAGGATTCTTTACTGTTAGAGCAGTACAATAATGGAGCAGACCAGGTAATGGTGTCAGCTGAGAGTATAGATACGCTCAAAAAAGGTTTAGATGATTTCCTTGGTGAAAACAATATACAGGGGTATGGGAATTATTAGAAACCCATATATTCACACACACAAACATTAAACTAGATGGACCTGTGTCCATCTTAACAGCTAGGGATGCACTTTTCATATACCAGTGCCGATACTTGGCATTTTCACGAGAACTACCAGGGTTGCAGCGGTTGCAGCTGGGACATGGCTCTGGCGCTCCACCACTGTCCTGAAATCATTAGTCTGTATTGTTTTAGAAAAACTGTCACATGATAATAAACAAAAATGTATCAGTACTTGTACTTGTAAGTACTTGGGCAAGTATCAGTACTCGTACTCGCAAAACTGGTATCTGTGCATCCCTTTATTTATATTTATAAAAACAAAATCATACAATAAAACAGAGATGTACAAATCCCAGGAGCTCCGTGCACTCCTTACACATGACAGCTGCCTCCTAACTTTTGCATTTTTCTCTAGTCTAGTCTTGGAGCTGGAAAAGTATCTGTACTTGTACCGAGTACGGTACTTGGTATCGGTGCATCCCTATTAACAACTATGTAACTATGAAAAGTAAAAGATCAACAATAGGGAAATTAGCTAAACTGATGAGCTATAGTAAGTAGGCCACAATGTTACATGTTGCATGTGGTATGTTTTTGTGTTCCAAAAGCATTGTTCCACTTACTACCTGCATATTTCTCCATATTAAATAAAATTGTCTCCAGAAGGAGGTATCATTCCTCCCTTGATAAACATCTTAGTTATGCAAATGGTTTGACTTCTCTCCACTTTTCAAATCAGAATACATTTCAAATTCAGATTTTTCTAGCCTACAGATGACCTGTAAACCAAGCGAAAAATACTGCATCATAAATGCAGAATATACTGTATACCAAAAAGTAAAGAATGCCAAATACCTTCATTCTGTGGGGGGTATTATGTCCATTACTTGCATTAAATACAAAGCTTGTGAATGTCCTCAGAGTTTTTTTTCACATGCAGTGACTTCGATATTTACATGCCCCAAGCCTATGTTTTCCTAGGCCTAAATGCCTACTCATTCACAATTCAGGCTTGAATCTATGAAAAGGTTTTTTTTTTTATATAATCCCCATGTGGTCATTTAGAAACTTGATGCTCAATGTATTATGTAAGTGAATATAAGAGAATAATGGATGCTTATTTATTTAAAACAAGTACTTGAAACTTTACAGTGGTAGTTTCAAATTTTCAAAGTTTGTAAGCATACTTACAAACATGCATATAAACGCATACATAGAGGTACTGTACCTCCATTAGTGTTTCATCCTGCTCATCAAAAGGTTTTCCATCCTTCCTGTTGTAAAAAGTGGCGACTCCCACAATTTCTTCCTTTTTGTTTACAATAGGCAGTGATAAGACATTTTTGATAACCCATCCACTTTCATCCAGTGGTTCTCTCTAAAGAAAAAATAGACACAGATGAATGGTGTTAAGACTCATATAGACAGCAACAGAGCAACAGTATATAAACTTATGTAGTTGTGAAGTGTTGTATTGATGACGGGAGAGTCGGAACACTGTGTAAAGTCTTCTCCAGCACATCCCAAAGATTCTCCATGGGGTTAAGGTTTGGGCTCTGCGGTGGCCAATTCATGTGTAAAAATGACATCTCATGCTCCCTGAACCACTCTTTCACAATTTGAGACTGATGAATCCTGGCATTGTCATCTTGGAATATGCCTATGTGCCATCAGGGAAGAAAAAAATCCATTGATGGAAACAAAACGGTATATTCAGGTAGGCAGCTGACTTAATTTCTTGGTCACACAACATTACTGAACCTAGACCTGACCAACTGAAGAAACCCGTAGCTCTAACCTATTTGCTTAGCTAAATCCATTTTTTTTTTGCCAGGCAGTGTATATCTTATTGAATATCTCTCAAGCACCCTGACTGTACAGGCAAAGTAAAGCAGTCTGAAAACTGGCAGTGTTTCCAGACATAATTGCAGAGTGCACCTTAAACTATGTATAAATAAGCACATCTGGCTGCTACGTCAAAGGGTCTATTTGTAAACAATTTGCAGAGCCATCTGCCCAGGGAATTTCTGTGATTGTTTGTTCTGTGCAAATGGAGGCAAAAATTAATTCTCTTAGTATAGTTTCTTTTCAGGTTGAATGTAATACTCAAACAATACAGCATTATGGCCACTAGATGGAGCTCAGAAGCATAGACAAAACATTATTATATTAATACAATATTGGGAAAATCCAGTTTTCTCAAATTCATTAAATTATGCTACCTTGTGTGTGAATGGAGTTGATAAATCCATCCAACTTAGGTTTGTACGCCAACAACCATTATCTAACTCTGTCATGTCTTTAGAAGCCAGCCATACTACAAAGCCCTTAATAGTTTTCAGTTATTCAGCCTTTCTTTTTTGTTAAACAGCTTCAAAACACACATTTAGGAAGTTATATACTTAAATGTTTAATTCTCACCTGGAATTTGAACATTTCATCTGCAGCTGCATTCATAATGTTACAAATCTTGAAGGGACAAAAACAATATAGTTTAAATAGTAAATTGATACACATCCAGCTCTACAAGTCCTATCATTTTCCTAAGCTTTTTTACATAACAGATGTTTAATCTGTAGTTGAAGGTCTACATTTATTTAGATTGTGAGCCCTCGTAACCATCTTGTTTTGAATTGTAACTGTAATGTCTTCCTTATATTGTAAAGCGCTGCACAAACTGTTGTCGCTATATAAATCCTGTATAATAATAATAATAATAACAATATTTGACAGGATATAAACACTGAGATGTAATTGCACTGGACTCCTACACGGGGGTACCAATTTGTGTGTAGAGGTTTCCACATATCCATCTGAGAATAAATGTAGTTGTGTTTACAGTGTACTTTAAAGTGTATAGTCAAAACATTCTGTAGTTGTAGATATTGTAGGTGAGGGTTACATTCCCTATCAGAACTTATACAGTTATCGTTGCCTAGAGAAGGTCAACATGGCCAATTCTTGGAAACATTGCACAGCCGCTGACTGTAAAAACTGAGCCTTGTTTAGGCACTCTAAAATATTTCAGTTGATCCAGGTTGGGAGTACACTGTAGGGCAGGGGTAGGCAAACTCCAACCCTCCAGTTGTGGTGAGCCTACAACTTCCATCATGCATCTGCCTCTGGGAGTCATGCTTGTGGCTGTCAAGGCCGTGACACACTGCACGCGAAGCCGTGCAGAGCGAAGCAAAGCTATCCGGCACGGAGCTTTGCGTGCAGTGTGTGAGCTGAGTGCAGTCAGATGATTGACTGCACCTTCAGCCAATCGGCTCGTCTGTAACAACCGGGCAGACGTCGCATCCCGTCGCGCCGGTTTATACGCGCGAGCCGATTGGCTGAGGTTGAAATTGTTCATCTCGGCACGCTCAGCTCTGCGAGCTCTCGCAAGCTGAGGTGCCGAGAAGAAAGTGACATGACACACTGCTCGCAAAGGCAGCGCGCCACCGCTCCGTGCTGCTTCGCGTGCAGTGTGTCACGGCCTTTAGCTTATTGCAATGTCTCATGGGATTTGTAGTTGCAGCACAGCTGGAGGGCTGGAGTTTGCCTATCCCTGGCATAGGGTTTACTGTATAGGTACTTTACAAAGACTAAAAATAATGATTTGAAGTTATAAGTATAAAATACATTTTCAATAGAATACCAGATACGTGTTAATAATTAATTTTGTAAAGTATTAGTATTTAACACTATTTTAAAATGACTAGTTTTATATTTAAAATCAAATGTAAAATTCTCTTCAGTTGGCATTAAGTAAACTTACAAATCCACTTTCTGCCACGTATGTGGGAAGGCCACTAGTAAGAGCCCAGTGATCCGCTGGAGGATTCCTGGTATAGAAATACATAAAGAAAAATGTTGCAGGTAATGCAGCACATATTTAATATTTTTAAATACTATTAAAGGGGTTAAAGTGAACAATTTTGTTTCTCAACTATGTAAACACAGCAGTACCTTTAAAAAAAAAATTGAATCAGCTTTTTTTACATGCATGCCTCCTTTCCTCAAAATGTGCATGATAAACAGGCTAAACAGCACAGTAACTGATATGTACACTTTTATAAAAAGTAAAAATGCGCATATCAGTTATCCCAGCTCGCTTCCATGATGGACTACGATCTCAGTACAAATTAGTAAACTAAACTAAACGTGAGATTGTAGTCCATCACAGGAGCGAGCTTGGAGCGGTGGCTACTTTACGACACTCACAGGGAACACTCAACACTCCCGTGCCACCAGGTTCACCATCACTTGCTTAGGATATGGTCCTTTAAAACTGTCCTTTAATCTTGGATAGTTGTTTTTTTGGGATGGTTTGAGATTTCTATTGGCAGTTAAGCTTAAAGTGACACTAAACTCAGGAGTTAAATCTTAAAAATGCATTCAAGTACCCTAACTTTTAACAATAATGTATCTTATTTGTGTATCAGCTGTAGATCCTCAAATCAGCTCTGAATTGGTGATGACACTGTCCTTCCTTCTGGAGGGGGGCTATTTTTGTTCCTCATGGTCCCTGTGTGTGTTGTAAAATAGTCACCACTCCAAGCTCACTCCTGTGATGGACTACAATCTCGCATTTAGTTTACTCATTTGTATTGAGATTGTAATCCATCACAGGAGAGAGCTTGGGGCGGTGGCTACTTTGCAACACTCACACAGACCATGGGGAACAAAAATAGCCACCCTCCAGAAGGAAAGACAGTGTTAGTATGTATTCAGAGATGATATGAGAATCTACAGCTGAGTGATACACAAAAAGGTTACAGTATTGTTAAAGGAGAACTATGGGGTTAGGGCTTTTCCCCATAGTTCTCCTTAGGGTAACGTGAGGACACAAACTGGCGTCCTCCCGTCACACTAAGCTCAGTATACTGCGAGCTACAGCAATTATGACTGAATCCGCACTGCTGCGTGAGTGACAGCTGGCTCTGCCTATCTAGAGGCAGAGCCAGCTGTACCCGCCCCCTCCCCCGTTCACTCAGCGCTGGAGGATCGGAGCAGGGAGGGGGGAATCCAGTCCCTCCCCTGTCATGGCAGACGCTCACTTCCCGATCTACTGAGCCGACCTGTGACAGTTTCAGTGTCACAGGTCGGCTAGAACTATGAGGACGAGAGAAAAGCACTCACCTCATAGTTCTCCTTTAATAGTTAAGGTACTTGAACTCCTGACTAACTAACCAACTAGGATCACCTTGGACCTGACTTGTTATGCCTTTCTTTTTTTATTATTCTATTCTTATTATTAAAGGGAAAAAATCTGAAGCAAAGCTATTCTTTCAAATTTTTACTTTCATTAAAAAAAAAAAAGTAGGCATGTTCCAGTTTAGAAAATTATGGTAATATTGTGATTGGTTCATCCAGTTTTATTCTAATTATTTAGAAATTAGTTAGTCCCATGGCAGCTTGTTACTTTTATAGATACCCAACTGCGAACATTAGCAACTTACTGGTTTTTCATCTGTCACTACTCAAGGCTAATTTTAAAAATGATGAGAAGAACTGTATTGGCTAGTCAAATTTCATTTTAATTAATTAGAAACGAGTCCCACTGCACTGTACTTCTTATTAATGTGTTTCAAACTTCATATTAATGCATTTCATTTTGTAAATACACTTACGGTATGACTTTAATGTCTTCTTTTCCATGCAAAGTATAGTCAATAACCTTATAAAATACGATTTCCTAAGAATAAAACACAGTCATGAATGTTATAAATGGGTGTATGGGTGCTATAGATAGATAGATAGATAGATAGATAGATAGATAGATAGATAGATAGATAGATAGATAGAGAGATAGATCTGTTTGATATAACAGATGGATTTTAGCTTACCCTCCCATCTGGAGTACGAGGTCCAGTGTATGGAGGAACCTCTCCCATCAAGACTGGCCACAAATCAAAGAATTCCTAAAGAATCAATTAACAGGTAAACAAGACAGGCACACATATACCATAACATATAATTTTGAGGTCTTACAAGCCCTAGCGCAGTCTTCCCAATATTACAGCATTAACGTACACCTCAAGCCCAAACAATTTTTTTTCACTGTCTGTCTTCCATTGGGAGATTTTCCTTCACTTTGTGAACCAAGAAACCATATTAGGAAGTAAAAGGAAATCTTCCCAAAATAAGTGAATGCTCTTTTAGTTATTACAGGAACAAGTGTGCTCACGGGAACATTTCCCCTCTATTCTTGTTCTGGTGACAACTCAAAATCTAGATTCTCCCTCACTTTCAGTCTTGCTGACAATCGTCAAGCAGGACAAACAGCGAGTGTGACTTTTCCCATCGAGGACACAAGCAGCAATACAAACTTCACAAAGTGTCTAATCCTTCTCCATTCTATATAATAATTCTCAATAACTTATAAATAAGAAAAGAAAGCAAAAAGACAAGCTTATAACTGTTACCTTAATATAATGTTGCAGTATTTTAACACTGTATTGGTTAAGAAGAAATGTATACTATTGGTAATTTTTTTCTCTGAGTGTTACAGATTCTGAATGTTATAAAGATCTTAAAAAATGAAATATATGTTATAGCTGTAGCCTGTACATGCCATTTCTGATAGCTCTATATATAGGGTTGTATCTGTGTATTGTACAATACCTTTTCTTTTGTCATGTCTAGAAGACCAACAGAGTATCTGTCACAGTTTAAGTACCCTCTCACTGTGTAAAGGGCCTTGTGGAATTGTCTTTCAATGTCTGTCAGTTCTTCAAACACTTTGTTTGCTGACCATAATAACACCTAGGGATACATAAAAAAAACTTTGTTCTGTTATACAGAATCACCAGCAAAAAGCATAGCACATTATCGACATTTTCAGTCAAAATAAAATTATATAATATGTATGATTGCTGCACCAGCCAATTTTTATTTTAAACCTGAACTTTGGGTTATTAGTTTAGCTGTTTTACCGACCAAAGGAAATGTATTTCCATCAATCTAATCCTGAGATTTAAACAGCATTGCCAGACTGTACAGCCAAGTAGCTGATCACCTGTCTTTCCCTACCCTGTGATTGGACAATGAAGGAGCAGCATCAGTGCTGCCTTGTATTGGCGTTTAAGCAGCATGACCCAGCTGGCCTTCACCTACCTTGCTGATTTGCTGGCATCTACCCAAATATGGCATCTACCCAAATACCCCAAAGACTAAGTGAATGAAAAGAGATTGTCAGGGTATAAATATATACAGTATATATATATATATTTATATATACCCCAACATTCCTCAACTGTGCATAACTGTAGGGGGATCAGCATCACTTTTTTCATTATCCAGAGTTCAGCTTCAAATTGACAGAAAATTAAAATGCCGTTTCACAGCTATGGAAGTATGGGAATGATCTTTATACTGTTAATGAACACCCACGATTCTTATTCTTTGCTTGTGTAGTTAGATCACTGCTTTTCCCAGATGTTTACACAGAGCTTGAGGAAAAATGTTTAGGGATTTGCAGCCAGTGGCATTCTTAGCATATTTAGAAACAAGGGCTGATTACTTTTTTTGCAAATTCTTTGTTTATTTATATCCACATGCAGAAGAGAACAAAGGTAGCAAGCAATAATAAACCGTTTGCTAACAAGAAAGGTTGAGCACATATACAAAATTACAAGCCAGACCAAGGGAAATGGTATCTTCAATAAGGAAATGGCAAATGCACAAAACATTAACTATTGTCTAACTATTATATAACTATTGTCTTGAAATCGTGACTGTGTATGTTGATAGGGATATCCACTACAAGGGACTTTTTAAAATCTATATAACCAACAAATAGAAAAAACAGGGAAGGAAGGAGATACAGAAAGAAACGAGGGAAGGTAAAAATCAGGTTCTCCCCAGAAAACTTCTGCCCTCGTCCAAAAAGAGGAAAGAATGCCAATAAAAACAATATTTATTGTAGGCTTCCATTCTATCCTGTTGGGAGTAAATCATACTTTGCATTCGACTGATATCTTTTACTTTGCATGATCACATGGTGATAGAAGGTGGGGATTCCTGTCTCCAACAGGCTGGGCTACATGCCTGTCAGGATACCGTGCGCGGGTGTCCCCACATGCAGGTACCCACACGGGAGAACCAAATGCTTGGCCACACCAGACAATGCCTATGAGCTTGTGAACGTATTAGACACACCGAAATCATATAAACACAAACACCCCACCAACACCCACAAGTAATAACAACTAACTAAATGCAAATGCAAACACAGACAACAGGGCAAGTGAAACCTGGGGAGTAAGGCAACACAAGGGGAGCCACGGAGCAATGGTTAGGGTACAAGGGGGCACCAGGATGCAGGAAACAGGTCACAGGAAATAGGATACTGGAATCAGGTCACACAAATCAGGTCACAAGAATCAGGTAACAAGAATCAGGATACAGGTCATATGAAACAGGATACATGAAATGGCGACAATACTGTGGCACCAGGCTCACTGCAGGTAGGGATTAAATACCCTCCCAGATCAGCATCAGGTGGTGCCCAATTGCTGACACCTGCAGATGAGCCCTGGAAATGCAGGACTTGGTTCCAGAGTCCCAGTGGCACCTGGAGGCGCTCCACTGGCTGCTCCAGACAGCCACTGGCTGCCTGGAGACACCTGCAGGGGAGCACTGGAACTGCTGGATCTGGTCCAGCGCCACCTGGAGGTGTTCAGATCCCTGACAATGCCTTTGCAGCGTTTATGAGGTGTCGCAAAATTGTTTTTTGTGGGGATAGAATTATGATGCAATAAGTAAAAGGTTGGGTCTCGAGGAAGATGAAATTCAGTAATCTGCTGAGAGATCTCCTAGTCCTTATCCTAAAAGACTCTCAGTTTGGGGCAGCACCAAAAGTTAAGAAGTAGAGTACATCTGTCTCATCTGCATCACTACATCACCAGCACTGGTCTGAAATTGACAGCTCGATATGGTGGGCCTTCACTGGGGTCAAGTACCAACAGGTGAGAACATTATAACTAAGCTCTAACACTCTAGAGCAAATAGATGTTTTGAGGGAGAAGAGGTCTGATTATTTTTTTAACAGCCCTGCCACCATGCTCCTCTCTGTAATTTTTATTTTTTTTAAACGATGATCATGAAATTAAATGAATACTAAAAACAGAGTAAATGAAGATTTTCTTGTATTTATGATCATACCAGTCATAAAAATAAAACAAAATAAAAGGTTTAATGATGAAATGCATTGCAGCAAAAAATAGGGATACAGCTCAAGGGTTTAATTGCGGGGCACATGGTGTGCCACTTTACTACCAATGCCAATATCATTTATGAGATAGGAAACATAATTTTCAGCTACATTACCTGACCTCGACGTGTCTCGCAGTTATGGAGATAGCTTAGGTGATAGATTTTCAGGTTTAAGGAGGCAAAATTTAAATACTTTAAAAATACCTGTAAGTAAAAAGGAATTACAATTACTAACAAATGTACATTACACGAAGCATGCAACTTTAATTATATGTGTTTTATTCCATTAATACTTGTAAAAAGAAAAGAAAAATTGTTGCCCTGATGAAGGGTCCCTGTGTGGCCCCGAAATGTTATAATTATTGCAACATGTATGATGATTTATCCGATTAAATGGACTTTATCGTTTGAATATTTTCCACTGAGTGCTGGTGATCCCTGTTCATTTGCTGTTTGATGTGCACGGCAACAATCTGAGTTTCTAGATTTGAACACAAAAGCACAAATACAAAACTAACAATGGCAACTGTGACCTATATAAAACCTCTGAGCATGGCCACATAGTTCTGTGGACTGCTTCTTCATTCCATTAATATTTTAGAAAATGTCAAATGGAGGGAAAAAAGAGCAGTGATTGAACCTTATCCACTTTAAGTCAACTGCTTTACTAAAAATGTGGAGCCACCACCTGCTCTACATATCCTTTCTATGTGCTATCATATCCTCCCTTGATAATACACACTGCTTTTGCATGACACTTCTCTGACTAACTTTATTGTGGCCTCTCATTTACTGCTTTACTTTCATTATGTAGTGTTAGTGTCATGTTAATATTCCACTTCCAAAAACTGTTCAAAATAACACTGTATTTAGGTAGCAAAAGAAATTGCAATAGTTTTCCCGATACAACCTGAAAGTGTGAATATTAAAGAACAGCTCTAGACATCTACTAACTTGTAAACTTTTTTGGGTCTGGTGTTGGGAGATTCCTGTTGTCTATCCCGGGGGTGTCATGGTAGACCTTACGTGACTGATTTTCCGTATACTGTATCCCAGTGGTGAAACCAGCAGTGGCTATTTCCAGAGTTTTGATGGGTGTGAAAATTAGAAACATTTGGCTGAAAACTCTGCAGGTTCACTGAAATAAGGATCAAAACATATTGCTGTGCATAGCCTATTCCCCTCATCAGCAAGAACCAATAATCTGATGGAATGGATAACCCAACTACCTCATGTTATAATGTTTTGGTGTTAGGTAGGGTTGACAAATCTGTATAGGGATAGAAACTATGCTATATTGTGCTTTTCATTTAGGCATTGTTACATGTTCCCCATGGCAGTGATGTGCGTCCAATGCCTTTTTAGAGAAATAACATATACCACTTGTAAAACTTTATAACTCCAGGACAAATTTCAAGAAGTCCTACCTCAGCACTTTCTCCTCTGATGCATTTCACCCACCACTGGGCTTAATCCTAGAGATTATCCCTATAATAAACCCAATGTTGGGTGAAAGGCTTTAAAGGAGGAGGTCCCTGGTGGGGCTTATTGAATTTTGTTCTGGAGCAACACATTTTTTCAAGCATTTGATGTTATGGTGAGTTGCCAGCTGTTTTTCGCTGGATGTGTTGAGAGTTCTAGGTCAGCTGAGGGAGTGATCCACTAGAAAGGATTCAAAATCGAACTTTGAGGAAGATTTGGTAACCTGGGCAGATTCACTCATTGTCAACTAGCAAGAGGGTTTGGCATCACTGCTGCTGAACATGTGATAAAATGTATGGAGAATTTTTCTTGGGCCGAACTTTTATCAGCTAAACAGAGGATCAATCCTATTTCCTATGTACCTATTTTTTTAGATTAAAGGAGAACTATGAGGTGAGTGAAAATCACTCATCCTCATAGTTCGAGCCGACGCGTGACAATGAAATTGTCACACGTAGGCTCAATAGATCGGGGAGTGAGCGAACACTTCTCACTCACTCACTTCTCGATCTGACAGTCACGGCTCTCTGCAGGGATTCCCCCTTTCCTCTCCGATCCTCCAGCGCTGACTGGAGGAACGGGAGGGGGTGCGTACAGCTGGCTCTGCCTCTAGATAGGCAGAGCCAGCTGTCGCTCACGATATCTCGCGATATACTGAGCTTTGGGTCACGGGAGGACGCTAGTATATGCCCTCCCGTGACCCTTAAGAGAAGTATGGGGAAATACACTTAAGGCATTATTTTAGACATTTACAACTCAGCAGGTTGTGGAAAAACAAATTATTTATTTAAGGTGTAACAATTTTCAGTATAAATTTTAATACTTACATCTTCATCATATTTTGTAAAGAAAGATCCATCGGTCTTGTTGACTGCCATAATAACAGCAACAACATCTTTGCCATTCATAATTGGTGTAGCCAGTACATTCTTTGTTTTGTATTCTGTAAGCTCATCTGCAAATCTGCTGTAGACGGTACTCTGTGCCGTAGGAAAAGGAAGACATTTTTACATTTAGAAAAGGAAATGATTTGTTTTAACAATTTACAAAATGTAATGTAGAATCCAGGTCGACCAAGAGTTTGACCCAAACTCTAGCAGCTAATTACCAATGATGCAATTCCTGAACTATAGTCAGGTACCATCAGCGGTGTATTTAACTATTGTGCTGCCCTAGGCAAGGCAGCAACGCCGCTCCCCCC